CAGATCCAACCCTAGGTTGTGTAGTAGCGTTGAGGGTGTGGTGCCAGGTAGAGTAGTTTGCATGATGGATAAACAAGTTGGAAATCAAGCAATAATTGCCAAGGATGTGCCTGAAGAAAATGGTTCTCGTGAGGTGTTTTGTGATGGTCAGTTGCGGGAGGGGCCAATCTCCCTAGCTGATGCGGCAACAGAGATATTGTTTGTAGGCTCGCAAGGAGGATCCAATGATGCTGGGAATCGTAGGAAGAGAGGAAGACCACAAAAAAAACAGAATCAGGTGAGTCACGCCGACTTTCATATAGATGATAGCATACAGGAATTGAATGTTGCCTCTGTGGCTGCTCATGTGTGGGAGATTGGGAAAAAATTGGGTGTAAAGGGACTAGCTCCTGATGAAGTCATTGTTAAAGATCTACAAGAGTTGGAAAAGCGTGATTGGGTGGTTATAAAGATGTATGATGGTATATTGTGGATGGTTAAATGTAAGTTGGATGATGTTTAAGTTATAATGATGAGTGAAGTTTAACTTGTTCAAACTGATAAGTTGTATGTTTTTAAACTTGTTAAGTTGAATGTTGCTAAAGTTGTTAAATTGTTAAGTTATAGATATGTGCGTTAGATACATGTATTAGCTATGATACATAAAAATTGGAGGGGAATAAAGTTATTTTTGAAAGTTGAATATCTCATTGTATGGATATGCATTGCGATGTTTTGAGAGCCCGATTGAAACCCTTTAATAGGTAAGTTGGCCTTTGGATGGGTAAGTTATTTTTAAGTTGTCCCCATTAGGTTTTTATGTGGTATCTATGTTTGGAATTTATTATTTAAATATATATATATGGAGAAATTCACTTCAAAATGAAATTTTTGTACACTTACTTCACTCAATAACTCACGATTTACATTATATTTTAATAATCTAACTGATTAAATTAATAATTTTTAATTTATAGACCAAGTCTACAAATTTTTACAAAGTTTAAAAATTATATGATATTTTATTTTATTAATTCAAATTAACAGATATTCATAAAAATATGTTAATTTGAATTTATAACTGTTAATTTGAATTAATATAATGAAATATCAAATAGTTTCAAATTTTGGTAAAATCCTAGGTGGTTACCTTTCAACGGATAAGGAATTATCATCCCACCAATTACCTCTTAAGTTTCGGGATCACTGTAAATCAAATATCTTTATCTTTACCAAATTGATAAGAAAATCTTTCCATTAATTAGGTAATTGTTGATTCAAGTTGGTCTTCTATCACCCACAATGGGATCCCAAGTCATTGCAATGAGCCAAAGTCCTAGGTGGTTACCTCTCGATGGTAAACAAATTATCCTCCCACAGATTATCTCCTAATGTATGAGATCATTTTAAATCAAATATCTTATCTTTGCAAATTGATAAGAAAATCTCTCCATTAATTAGGCAACTATTAGTTCGATTTGGTCCTCTCTTGCCCATAATGAGACCCTAAGCCATTGCAACGAGGAAAAACCCTACCTAGGACTCATCTCGCTCAATTTGGGCATAGGATTGGTGGTACTGGGCATGAAATGAGAGACTCGTCTCTACCTGGATTCACATTGGGCACTAAAGTGTGTGGCATCGTGCATGAGTCTGGTTGATAGCTTTTTGCATGATAAGGGTTGGGCAAGGGTGTTGCCACGCTAGGCACGAGAATGTGGGACACTCTCCATGTCAATCACACTGAATGTGAGTGATACAACGCCAAACATGGGTGAGAGAGAGATCTCCTTATCTCAATGGCATCGAGTGCCTAGTGAGTGACGTCGGGCACAAATTGCATGATGAAAAGTTTTTCTTAAAGTTGTTTTTACAGTTGAGTGATGGTGAATAAGTTGTATAAGTGATGTTGTAAGATGATATATCTTAATATGCAATAAGTTGAACATGTTGCAAACTGAGTTGTTTAAGTTGTTTAAACCAATGTAGTTGTCATTCTATCAAAGTTACTCTTGTTATAAAGATGTATGATGGTATATTGTGGATGGTTAAATGTAAGTTGGATGATGTTTAAGTTATAATGATGAGTGAAGTTTAACTTGTTCAAACTGATAAGTTGTATGTTTTTAAACTTGTTAAGTTGAATGTTGCTAAAGTTGTTAAATTGTTAAGTTATAGATATGTGCGTTAGATACATGTATTAGCTATGATACATAAAAATTGGAGGGGAATAAAGTTATTTTTGAAAGTTGAATATCTCATTGTATGGATATGCATTGCGATGTTTTGAGAGCCCGATTGAAACCCTTTAATAGGTAAGTTGGCCTTTGGATGGGTAAGTTATTTTTAAGTTGTCCCCATTAGGTTTTTATGTGGTATCTATGTTTGGGTAAGGTTGAGGTACATGTGTATAAAGCCACAAACTGCGTAAAGTACCAGGTTTGGTACTTAGTCTCCAACCTACTATCAGAAGGTTGTGGTATTTGGAGGGTAGTGTGTGGATTAATCTCATAGGTGGCTTAGTGTTGCAGGCTAATCTTGTGGTAGGTTCATACCCAAATTGCTCTACCTTGACATAGTACCATACTTCCAAGCTTAAGTGGTGAAACCTGATAAATTAATCTAGCTTATGCTAGTTGTTGTTTCAAATTGCATGATGAAAAGTTTTTCTTAAAGTTGTTTTTACAGTTGAGTGATGGTGAATAAGTTGTATAAGTGATGTTGTAAGATGATATATCTTAATATGCAATAAGTTGAACATGTTGCAAACTGAGTTGTTTAAGTTGTTTAAACCAATGTAGTTGTCATTCTATCAAAGTTACTCTTGTTATAAAGATGTATGATGGTATATTGTGGATGGTTAAATGTAAGTTGGATGATGTTTAAGTTATAATGATGAGTGAAGTTTAACTTGTTCAAACTGATAAGTTGTATGTTTTTAAACTTGTTAAGTTGAATGTTGCTAAAGTTGTTAAATTGTTAAGTTATAGATATGTGCGTTAGATACATGTATTAGCTATGATACATAAAAATTGGAGGGGAATAAAGTTATTTTTGAAAGTTGAATATCTCATTGTATGGATATGCATTGCGATGTTTTGAGAGCCCGATTGAAACCCTTTAATAGGTAAGTTGGCCTTTGGATGGGTAAGTTATTTTTAAGTTGTCCCCATTAGGTTTTTATGTGGTATCTATGTTTGGGTAAGGTTGAGGTACATGTGTATAAAGCCACAAACTGCGTAAAGTACCAGGTTTGGTACTTAGTCTCCAACCTACTATCAGAAGGTTGTGGTATTTGGAGGGTAGTGTGTGGATTAATCTCATAGGTGGCTTAGTGTTGCAGGCTAATCTTGTGGTAGGTTCATACCCAAATTGCTCTACCTTGACATAGTACCATACTTCCAAGCTTAAGTGGTGAAACCTGATGTTATAGATATGTGCGTTAGATACATGTATTAGCTATGATACATAAAAATTGGAGGGGAATAAAGTTATTTTTGAAAGTTGAATATCTCATTGTATGGATATGCATTGCGATGTTTTGAGAGCCCGATTGAAACCCTTTAATAGGTAAGTTGGCCTTTGGATGGGTAAGTTATTTTTAAGTTGTCCCCATTAGGTTTTTATGTGGTATCTATGTTTGGGTAAGGTTGAGGTACATGTGTATAAAGCCACAAACTGCGTAAAGTACCAGGTTTGGTACTTAGTCTCCAACCTACTATCAGAAGGTTGTGGTATTTGGAGGGTAGTGTGTGGATTAATCTCATAGGTGGCTTAGTGTTGCAGGCTAATCTTGTGGTAGGTTCATACCCAAATTGCTCTACCTTGACATAGTACCATACTTCCAAGCTTAAGTGGTGAAACCTGATAAATTAATCTAGCTTATGCTAGTTGTTGTTTCACTTTTAATATATTTCATTTTGCCTAGCAAAAAAAAATTGAATCAATCCACTTTGTAAAAAATAAATTAGTTAATCGATCTACTTTTATAAAATAGATTAGTTCGGTTCAATTTAAATTTTTAAAAATCTGATCCATGAGCACTCCTAACTGACAAGTGTGGACAGATAGACTAACATAAGTGATAGGCTAGCCTTACTAGTGGTGACAGGCTTGGCTAACTTTTAAGTTGTAAAAGCATCTTATAATGTGTGAGAAAATTTAAATGAAAACAAGTTTATTTGTTCATTAGGAAAAAAAATTAGTCTAATTCGCTTTGAATTTTAGTTGGTTTGATTAGGGTACTTCTGAGTCAAAGACACATCCAATCCATTAAGCAAACCAAATTGGTAATAACACCAAGTCTTGGTTGAACCGATCCAAGCAATTAGCCTAAAAAATACTAATTATAAGTATTATTGTTAATATTAGTATGATATAATAATGTTGCACTTATGTGTTATTAATAATGTTAAAATAATACTTATGATAATAACATATAATGACTTTAATTGTACAATTATCGAATTTGTAAAATACAAATCCCTAATCAAATTATTTAAGGTTAGTTTTAATTAGTTTGAATGGAATTTGATCCAATAAAAAAGAATTAAACATATTTAATTATTTTAATTTGAATATTCAATTTTATCGAATTGCCTTAGTTAATGAGAACTTTAACAAAATAAACCAACTTTACTTCATTTTTATTAATTTAACAATGTAATTTTGTGCTAAAATTTGAAAAGTAAAAAAGAAATGATGTGGAGTAGTAAATACAAAAATCTAAGGATGAATAATTGTTTGACTATATGATTTAGTTAACTACATACAATTTAAATCCAATTTCTAATCGATCAAATAAAAAATATTTGCGATAATACTATACTAAATTTTTTCGTTTCTTTTACACCTATCCAAGTTAGTAAAAACTCCCATTTTCCTATCTCAGCCACTCTTATTTCTTTTTTCTCAAATGTTAAATGAATTATTTTCATTTCTTTTGAAGCTTACTTGATTTTTCTTAAATTCAAATTAATAATACATATTTTAACATTTCAAAACCAAAAACCCTAAAATAAAATACATCATGACAATGTAAACTCTGTAAGAGGAGAAAAGGGAACGTTTGGGGTTTCAGAAAGGGTTTTTATATTCCTTCTTATTCTTCTTCCGCTTCTTCCCTCAAACAGAGAGAGGAAACAACTACGATGGAGGGTGTATCGTACGCGCGCATGCCTCGGGTGAAAATTCGCGAGCTGAAGGACGATTACGCGAAGTTCGAGCTGCGCGATACGGACGCGAGTATCGCGAACGCGCTGCGGCGCGTGATGATCGCGGAGGTGCCGACGATCGCGATCGACCTGGTGGAGATCGAGGTAAACTCTTCGGTGCTCAACGACGAGTTCATAGCGCACAGGCTCGGCCTCATTCCGCTCACTAGCGAGCGTGCAATGTCCATGCGCTTCTCACGTGACTGCGACGCCTGCGACGGCGACGGCCAGTGCGAGTTCTGCTCCGTCGAGTTTCATCTTAGGGTTAAGTGTATGACTGACCAGACACTCGATGTCTCCAGCAAGGACCTCTACAGTTCCGACCATTCCGTCGTTCCCGTCGATTTCTCTGACCCTTCTAACCATGAATCCAGCGACAACAGGTGCGGGTTTTGCTTTCCAACCCTAGTTTTTTAGACGGGTTTTTGTCGGTTTCGACTGGGTATTTGGTTTTTGGAAATGGGCATTCTTCGTTTTCAACTGGGTATTCTTTGTTTTTAGATGGGTATTTGGAATTTTGAAATGGGTTTTCTTCGTTTTCAACTGGGCGTTTGGTTCTTTTTCAAATGGGCGTTCTTTGTTTTCAGCTGGGTATTAACCGTTTTTTCAAATGGGTCTTCTTCGTTCTCAACTAGGTATTTGGTTTTTTTTTTTCGGAATGGGTGGTCTTTTTTCAACTGAGTATTTGGTTTTCTTTTTTATTAGGGTGTTCTTTGTTTTTCAAATGGGGGTATTTGGTTTTTTAAGATGGGTATTCTTTATTTTCAGCTGGGTCTTCTTCGTTCTCAAATGGGTATTTGGTTTTTTCATATGGGTGTTGTTTGTTTTTAATTGAGTATTTGGTTTTTTATTTATTTATTTTTTATTATGGGTGTTCTTTGCTTTTAACTGGGTATTCAGGGGAATTATCATTGTGAAGTTGAGGCGAGGACAGGAGCTGAGGCTGAGGGCGATAGCTAGGAAGGGGATTGGCAAAGATCATGCCAAATGGTCACCTGCTGCAACTGTCACTTTCATGTATGAACCAGAGATTCATATAAACGAGGACTTGATGGAGACATTGACTCTTGAAGAGAAAAGAGAATGGGTTGATAGTAGTCCTACTCGTGTGTTTGAAATTGATCCAGTAACACAACAGGTTGGGTTTTTCTCATTTGTTCTCTTTTGAATTATGGTTTTGGTTATGCTCTTTTCTCTGCTTTCATCGGTAATGCTATTGTTAATTCTGTGCATAATTCGAAGTTACTTAGCCTGTCTTCTAGGTTTGGTGCTTAATTGGTAGTTTGTTTGCCTTTTGGTCTTTATCTAACACATGCATGTCAGCTTTTTCTGAACAAATTTGCAATATCATGCTAATCCCTAATCCTGAACATTGTATGTTGTATTTTTAATCTTTTTTGGATAGAAGTGGAGAAGAAAGTGCATTTAGAGATATTTCTACTTGTTTTCTTTAGGTGTTCAATGATGACACTTGTAATTTGGTGTTTTGAATGCATAATGCTTCTTGTGACTGAAGTAAAGGATGCTCAATGTTGTTCTTTCAATTTTTTATGGAAACGACCTCTAATATAGGCTTACAGAATCACATAGAGGAGGAACATGCAGTAATTAGGAGACAAGATTATTTATATTTTGGTCATGCTAGCTGTCACCGAGAAATAATATCTTCTCTTTCCAAAGCATAAGAGCTTATGTTCTGTAAAATTTTTGGTTTATCTTGGAGTAAGGATGGTCTTCAATAAACATGATATTAATGCCATATATCCCTAAAATTTTGTGCCTTTTGTCATTAATCTTTTGGAGCGAGAGAGAAGTCTGTTTAGGTAGCCTCTATAACTTCCAAAATCCAATCCCAAGGTATTGTAAAATCATAATTCTTCTGTCAAGCCTGAAAAACTGGGGGAAAGTGAACAACTTCATACCGTGTCATTCTGGAAGGTGCCTAGAACTTTATGTACTTGATCCTGAAGAAGACTTTTCATGTAAGATAATAACTCAAGCAGAGCTATTAATAGCATTCTATTGCTGCGATGGATTGATTTGCAGTGCGTTTTACCTTTGTGGCTGTTTTGGCAACAATCATGGCCCAAAAAGTGGTTGTTTGCGGGGCTATAGCACCCCTCTGTTGAGGGGTTTTCAAAAGACCTTTTTTTCACCCCTGAAACAGCGTCCTTTTAGGGGGTGTTTTTAAAGGCCACAGTTGACATTCCCACTCCTTTACCAGAACGTTAAAAAAACTAAATACAAGGGGTCCTGTGTGTTTCATCACTTCTGTGTGACCCACTTTATGACCGACATCCTTGCTCTATTGGCCAGAGCCACCCATCTCCGGTGGTTTTCCAATGACACCCATGCAGCACTCCTTTCTCTGTTCTTCTGAACCCTAGATACACTAGATATCCTCTGTTCTGTCCTGTGTGGCAGTGGACAGCCGCATCATCTCAAGGACCAACTCAAAAGAGTGGTGCTTGACTTTTATTGTTATTTACTACCATACCATGTTTTGGTTTACATGTATGACTTTTTATTGTTAATTATGAATATTTCATGAATTTTTAGTAGATTTTATTTTTCATTGTGAGTATCTATATTTATATATAATATACATACACATGCACTGACACACATAATGTGTATAAAAAAAATATCACAATGGAAGCTATCCTATCCGGCTATGTGTTGGTGCTGGTGTTTTAGGTGTTTGCCACCATCCAAGATTGATAACTATAAACTCAAGTGCGAAAAAGAAAACATTGCTAGAATGAATGTGAAGGATTTATGCATCAAGACTGATCAGGTCCTGAGCTATCAATTTCATAATGAATCTTGAGTTGCAATACAATAAATAAAACATTATCAAGGTTTGCAATCCTGCTCATGATGGTGGATGTATAGCATATCCAGGAGTATTATCAATGGCAGATATGGATACTCTTTTTTTTGTCGAAGAAAGGCACATAAAGGGTTCTTGAAATGATGTCTGATGTATCTTGTTGATTCTGTCAAGTGTCAACCACTTGATACCCTTTTTTAGGTTCATTTTGATTTGTTATTGTGAATCCCTCTTTGATATAGTATGTTTTGTTGAAACCAAAACATTGAATTTGCTAACCTTCAAAATCAAATGCGCTGTCTTGAGGTAATTTATGTTTCTATTTTGGCATTTATATTAGGTCATGGTGGTTGACGCTGAGGCATACACATATGACGATGAGGTGCTTAAGAAGGCAGAAGCTATGGGCAAGCCAGGGCTTGTAGAAATTATTGCGAGGCAGGATAGTTTCATATTCACAGTTGAATCTACTGGGGCAATTAAAGCTTCTCAATTAGTACTAAATGCCATAGAAATTCTCAAGCAGAAGCTGGATGCTGTGCGGCTATCTGAAGATACAGTGGAGGCAGATGATCAGTTTGGTGAGCTAGGTGCACATATGCGAGGTGGATGATCAAGTCTGCTTGAAGGATATCAAACTTGTTTCCTTGAACTTGTTTCTTGCATGTCGTATTTGTCTGAATAGTTGTAGCATGTGTTAACTTGTTCAGCTTGAGCCAAATATGCAAATGATTAGTGTTACCTCTTGAAGATAGATGGTGATGCTTCACATTTATGTTACCTAGCTTGGCGGCGGTGGTTAGCATGTAGTATGTTTTTGGCTAAAATATATATTTTATCTCTTATCTTTAAATCAAATTTAATTCTGGTCTTTTATCTTTTAAAAGATCTTATTTAACTCTCTAAGTTCGAGGTAATGTTGACCTAAAATAGTAATTATGTGCAATTTTAAGCCAATTTTGAAAGAAAATTATTAGATTTTTCAGTTGAGTTCGCAAGGCTCACTTTCCACGTTATTTTAAACATATTTATAGGTCATTTTAGTTTAAACATTAACTGGGTTTCGCAATTTTCATGTAAGGATTCAATAGAACAAGATTTATGTTGACTCTATTTAAAAGGTTCAAAATCGTGTTAAAATAAAAAGTGAACACTTACAAAGGGGTGGGGGAAATGGGAGAAATTATATTTAAAACCGTTTCGGTTCCCGTTTTTTTTTTTTCTTTTTCTTCTGTGAGATAGATTGTAAAAATTATTTCTTTCATTGTACATCACCTTCCTGTCTATTTGAACTAAAACGGACAAGTAACAATAATTACTTGCGAAATTGAACTCGTATTTTGATTAACATGTACCTTAAGGACTCCTGTTTACATTCTCGTGTTTAATAATCCTCTATCAATCATTCTTTAGGTAATTTGTTTATAATTGTTATTTTAAACTTTAAAGATAACACTAATTACTTATTTTCAATTACAACTTTATTAAAACCGATGAAAGTAATAGTATATTAAGTTATAAATGTTATGCAGCCGCATTAAATCTTGGGACCAGCTATCCTACTTTTTGAAGTGCCTCCAACCTAGCAAGGAGATTAGTCACTGCTATCGGCAGTAGATATTCTAGGAATGAACAAAAAAAAAATTGAGTTATAAGTGTCAAAGTGGTAAACAAGAGTTACAAAAATGTGCTAAAAATATAAATAACTTTAATAAGAATAAAAGTTATTTATTTTTCTTAATCTGTATAATCTAATCTTGAACAATAAATGGGGAAAAAACGGAAGTACTTGACTTTGGGTCCGGTCAATTTGAAGATACAAATTCACCATTCTTAACAAGTGTCTGCGAAAAAGAACCTAATTCAAATCGCACATTACATTCACGTTGGAATTGGATGGATTTTTTCTTTGAAATTTACTAGTGTTTAAGAAAACTAGTAACACCCGATGCAGTAATAAGAAAATGGATGCAGTTTTTGTTGATTGAAAAAAGAAAATCACACAATTATTCCTTCCATAGGTGGGCAAAGCTTACCTACCAATAAATTCCCACTTACCCTACACCTCAAGATCATTGAAATAAGCACACACTCAAAAATAGCAACAACTTTCAATTGAAATAAAGTGAGCAAAAAAATTGAGTCAGCAAATTTATAACATTTAAACCAAGATGCAGAAACAAGGAAGCAGAGCTGAACTGCACTATACAATGCATACATAAAACGTCAGAAAAAGAAAATTGTTGAGTTCCATTTTTACACGAGAAAAAGGCACAATAAATACATATATCACTCAATGCTCTGATTTTACCCTCACATCTCCATTTGGCAGTACGCTTTGTGCCTGTGCCTGTGCCTGTGTCTGACGTTTCAACTCCTGCATGCAATAAAGCCAATGTTCATGTTAATGGAAAAATATATATATTTCTTGTAATTCACTAGAGGATTCAGTTTAGTCTTCGGGTTTCTTTTCCCTGCTAAGCCCTTTCAAAACCTGTAGCAATATAAGTAGTTTCTTCAAAAGCTGCCATTTACAATGGTACTATTAAATTAACCACGTGATCTAGAGTGAGAAAAGTGCACCAGAAACCATCCCCAAGGTAATTAAATTTAGTGGGGTTACTTATTTTTTAACAATATAACTTGAACAGGAAAGGATTAGATGAGGATTATCAAAGAACCTAATAATTGGTTTCTCGAGTAGAAAGCATTCAGAAATTAGGAGGATGATCATCTTCATCGCTTGTGTTTCTCCAGAAATCCCTAATAGTTGCAATTTGGAAGATGATTGTGTTGCTGGAATTGAAAATCCAGCCTACACTGCTTGGGAACTCTCTTCCTTTATTTTGCCTAGGGTGGATTGGTGGATTGCATTCTGCCGTTCTTGGCAACTTTAGGAGAAGATTCACCATCATTTTTAGGCAAAAACCAAAGCTCATGCATGTCATCTCCGCACTGAACTTCCCAACATGAAAAAAGGTGATAAAATTGTTGCACAGTTCCTTAAGCGCATAAAATCTATTTGAGATTCATTGATTTCTATAGGAGAAACTGTTTCAACTCAAGAACAGTCAGATGTTATACTTGATGGCCTAGCGATTGAGTTCAAATCCCTATTTACATTAATTAACAATAAATCTGAACAGTTAGATGTTGTCCTTAGTACTTAGTAGTACTTGAAGGTGAGCATTCAAATTGAACTTGTTAGGCAGAACAGTACGTGGATAGTATGGATTCACCAATAACAGAATTACCGCAAGGGAGGGTTGAAATTGTGATTTGCTAGAGAAAAATATTATTAGTTGAGAGAGAAGGCCATGAGAAATTGAGAGGGAAAGTATGGACGTTTGTTTGGAAAATACTTTATTTCACTATGAATGATTGATTACAAGGCAAGGACTATTAGGGAAGATATTCCCCTTTAGTTGGCAGCGAACTTAAAAAGGAAAGGATATACAGGAGATCCTAAAATAATAAAAAGCATATTCTCCTAGTTGTACAATTCAGACTCAATCAATATCAGACAATTCTGTCTAATGCTGGAAATCTGAATTGATCTCCTGAATTAAAGATCCTGTCACCAACCGGTAGTAAATCCTCAAGAGTTGCATTGTCCTTTATTCTGTATTGTCTTTCTATTTCAATTTCTTTAAAATGATGTGTATTTATCTTCTCTCTGGATTGATATTGCTTGTTTGTTTCCATTTTCAGTTAAGGAAAGAAGAGTAGAATAGTTAAAATACAGAAATCATGATATCATAAGACCCTAAAATAAACTAAGAGCAAACCAATGACAAAGGAAGGTCTATTTTTAAAGCTCTGTTCTACATTGACATAAAACACTAAATAAATAATACTCACAGCAGCTGCAGCAGCACGACTCTCTCTAAAAGTTTCAACCTCATCAGGGAAGTTCTGCTCTAGTTCCTCCAAAAGATGCTTGCGCAAACTCTGCCCAAACAGAAATGCTAAGTTGAACTAAAGATGCCTATTAAATATATGGGAAGACAAAACTGGATACATTATGTAATAAAAATCAAGAATAAGAATAGACCTTTAAAGCATCAGTTTTTCCTTTGGTGATTTGATTCTTTGCAATACAGCTGTTTATAACATCTTTGGTGAATTCATCGGGATTCTTCCCATCATCAATTAAACTAAACCCAACAATAATGAGAAAAATTAAAAATAATAAAACTTAAATTAGGTCATAAGAAAACTATAGGAGCATGGAACACATACAAAGGCAAACAACTCACTTGATAACCTCCATAGGGACCTGAATGTTGCACTTCTCTGCCAATTTAACCATGTTGTCAAGCTCCACAACAAGGCCATTTCTGGAACATTTAAAGTAAAATATGATCAATTTTGAACATGAAGCAAAAGCAAAAGTAAAACAAAGAAAAAATGCATTAAAGGAAAAGGATTGACGAGAGTTACATGCGCTGGAGTAGAGGCATTTGAAAGGCAGCATTGAAGGTAGAAACTGTAAGGTAAAGCTGATGGATAAGGCCCAAAGTTTTCTGAATGGAGTTGCTGACCTGGTTCAGCTTCTGCATAGAATCATCAGCTCCTGCTGCAGAAGCTGCCATGTCATTATTTTGTGAAATCAACGTCCCATTTCCACCACTCCCACCATTTCCCCCAATAACTGTGCTTTGTGACGAATCCATTTGTATTTTTCTATTAACCAAAAAATTTATTAAAACTCTTCAATCCAAAATAAAAAAACTAACAAAAAAGGGGCTAAGAGCAATGCAAGGTAGCCAGGAGACTACATAGGAATTATCTAAAAAGTAAATTATATGGAGCTATTGTACTGATTTAAAATCATGCACAAGGTTCTTCTAATACACTGAACACAAAACAGACACTAACATTTTGCCATATTTAATGTTTAAAAAATAGGACAACGAGAAACCACATACACAGAGAATGAGGGAGACTCAAATAAACTGAAAAAGGTGAGAGACATTATTTTTAATATTATATATCATATTTTAATTTGACTTATCTAAAAGTTACAAAAATGAAGGTTTTTTTTTAATAATATAAATGTCTCCATAGTCCATCCAAATGGAGGAATATCGGCTTAAGTGTCCAAGCCAACAAAAAATATTTTTTAAATTCAATACCTATATAGAAGTGTCTAACATGGTGTCAGACTATCAAACAAGTGTGATGTCAGAAACGTGTTTGACACTGCAACACTTAAAACAAGAGGGCCATCTGTGCTTCAAAGATTCTAACACACCGATATTTTCCTTTTTTTAAAATTTTTTTTTCCTCCTTGTTTATTCTTTTTTCTCTTTTTATTTTCCTTTATGCTCCAAAATTATCTATCTTTTTTGAAAGGCCATGCAGTTCTATAAATAACGAAAATTAAAGGAAAGCAAAGAAAAGAACAAAGTTAAGGAAGAAGAAATAAAACAAATGAGCAACTCCTTGAAAAAATCATAAAAGTCTTCCAGTGGAGGATGATGCATTTTCTATCAGTACCTCCCCTGCCTAAGATTGTGGGATTTAGGGTGTATTCTAAAATGGGTCAAAATAATTATATTCCTCCCACTCAACTCCAGCAAAATGCCTGTTAGAACTTAAAAGTGACTTTCCTAGACAGTAGTTTAGGTGTAGGAGCAGAATGATCACTGACCGAACAGAGCAACTGCTCCACAGAGAAAACTATCCCTGCCCATGCTAGAAGCCAAAAGTAGTCATTGAAAAAGGAATTCATGAATACATGCAACTCACTCCTCCTCTATAACTACCCCGACCATTGGAGGATCCCACAAGCCAAAGAGGACTTGCTGAATTAGTGAATTTACCTTATCCCTAAAGACTTCCACAATAGTGCAAGATATCAGATGAATAAGATCCCTGAATCTAAAAGGTGAAGCTTCCATGGTAAGCACTGGTTGAGTATATCAAAATGCCTACTGAATAATATTACATGCGTAAAACATATTCTTAGTTTCTTACACAATAAACATTTTGATTAAGATGTTGATTCTGAGATATTGAAGAAATGTATAATTAAGGAAAGCATTCCTTGTCTAATGTTAAAATCATAGAGCACTTCATAAGATAATGTCCTGGCTCCTTCTAGTAATTGATGTAGAAAATAGTGCAAATGTTACCATTTTGCTTCTTTCACAAGAATACATACTTCATGTTCATGGTCAATTTGAAGAATTATGCCACTATTCAAAATCCTAATCCTTCCAATTTAGCTCCCTACATTATACTATGCTAGCTACATGGAAGGCAAACTGAAGTGGGTTATATGCTAAAGATGGAAACTGATTGCTTTATTTCTTTTAAAGAGTAGAATGATTCTATGATATGGCAGAAAACAACATAAAAATAAAAAGATTAATGATGTCATCCATGCTTTATATAGTAGAAAAATGGTTGCTTTACATTTAGGATGATTCGTTTTTCCCATTAATCGTCCATTCTTTGACCATTAACCATGGTAAACTAATTATGTAGTAGGAAACGAAAAAAGGAAGGAAAAAAAAGGTTGAAAAGAAAATAACATGAATCTAAGAAAATGAACATCGTACAAACAAATTTCATTAAGCATATATAGAGCATGGCCCATCCAAAGTCGAAACTGAAAATGTGATTTTCATTATTTTCTACTCTCATTATCACCATGGATTTAAAATTTAAAAATGGACTACTTCTCGATCATCTAGTTTTTTCCTAGTATACATCTAATGAAAGCTGTAACCCTGCCCCTTATCCTCATCCCATAAACACCTACAATAATCTGAAAAAGACTACAGCTTTTATCCTAGCTATGAAGTCATCCATAGACGTTTCTTATGGCTACAAGTAAGGGACAACCCAAATTGAAGAAAGCAGAATATTCACATAGCCTTCTCCCTTCACTATAAGATCAGGAATTGCCACACAACTTCATATTATTGCTCTATCAACGACATTCAAGGCCTTCACTCGGTCTATACCATAGTTAATTTCAGAAATATTAGCACATTCGCCATTTTAAATTTGAAACAATAAATTCATTCTATTCTCATTTTTTCGAAAAAATAAAAATAAAAAATGAAACCCTAGATCAAAAACAAAACCAACAAAACGAAATAACGAAATAAAAAATGAAAACTAAAAGAGAAAGAAACCTGGTATGAAGCACCGCACAAGTGAGAGCGTGCTCTGAGCAAGAGAAGGAGGTTGCGCGAGCGTGTGGGAGTGAGAGCGAGGGTTCGAGGGTTAGGGTTTGACGAATGACGCTAGTCACAAACTGTGAAACAAATTCTTTATTTTTGTTCAGTAGAATTTCAAATTTCCGGTAAGAAAAGATACAATTTCCATTTCTTTTTAAGTTGCCGGCAAATTCTACCGTGAACCAAATGCATCACTAAAATTCACTTTTAGATGTAATAATAAAATAATGAATGGTCAAGATTTTAAATTAACAATTCATTTAAAATTATAAACTATATATTAATTAATATTTTAACATATCTAATTTACAAGTTAAATATTTATTATATTTCAGCGAGGAGGAAACTTTCATGTTTTTATTTATTTTTGTTAAAAAATAATAATTTTGAGAATAATTGAATAATTAATTAAAAAGAATAAATTATTTAACATCAAAAAGATGTCAAAAAAATAGTAATTTTAGTCGTTTATAATAATTGTTTGTTTCAATTTAGTCCCACTTTTATTTTTGGACTCAATTTAATCCCTAATAAATTAATTGGTTGCAATGTAGGACTTCCGTTTAAATTATTTAAACAGAGTTAACTGTTGGTCACGTGGCATGCACGTGGATGTCACGTAGATGCTAGTTTTTTTGAAAACACCTGGAACCAGAACAACCCATTTGAAACCAGAACAACCCGTTCTGAAACCAGTACGAGCCGTTCTGGGTGCACTCTTGGTGTGTTAATTTTGCATCCGGAACGGCCCCTTCCAGGTGCAAAATTAACACACTAAAAGTGCAACCAGAACGGCCCGTTCTGGTTTCAGAATGGGCCGTTCTGGTTCCAGACTGTTAAACACAAACTATCAATGATTATAGTTCACGGTTGTGAATCGTGGAAGGAAAAAGATCCAAGGTACAAAGCATTTCAAACACTGATTTGGTAATATTATCAATGGAAATTGATAACTTCAATTGCTAAACAGTTGGGCTATACAGTGTATCATTAAGGACAATGCAGTGTATCACTAAAGACAATGGTAACAAATTTTATTTCATTGTTAGTCAAACTGGAGTGAACCACTTACTAACAAATTGACACTATATAGTAAAGGATGAAATGACATGGTATTTTTTCTTGAAGTCATTAACGATGTACCCCTATAACAACAACATGTTCCTGAAGAGGTAGAACCTGAAGTAAAGGAAGAGGATACACAAGACTAACATTTCACCACACAACCACATGCAGGGACGGATCTAAGTTAATCATAGTGGGGGCACTTGCCCCCACTAAATTTTTTTTCATTCTTTTTTTTTATATATAAAATACTAATAATTTTAAAAATATATATTATTAATTATATTTTAATTATCTTGTTATATCTAATATAATAAATACATTAATATTTTATATATATTTTATTTTAGGTTAAATACCTCTTTTGGTCCCTTACAATGTTTTTTTGTTTCAATTTAGTCCCACTTTAATTTTTTGTCTCAATTTGGTCCTCAATAACTTAAATTAGTGCAATTTGGGACTTCCTTCCAAATGATTTAGATGGAGTTAACTGTTGGCCACGTGGCATCTACGTGGATGCACACGTGGACACCAAAATTCTGGAAAAAACCTGAAACCAGAACGGGCCGTTCTGAAACTAGAACGACCTGTTCTAAAACCAGAACGTCCCGTTCTGCTTTTAGAACGGGTCGTTCTGCTTTTAGAATGAGCCGTTCTGAATTCAGAACGGTTTAATTAAATAATTCACTTTCAAACTATTATATTTAATCTTATCACCACAGGAAATTTTACATAATAATGACATATAAAAAGTATCATTATAGATACGGTATATGTATGTATATTTATTTGATATATAACTACATACAGTTTTAATATTAATTTTAAATGAGATTTAACAATATATATTGTATGTCATTATAATTTATACCAATACTTTTTCATAATATATCAACATATATGATATTTATAGTATAAATAAAAATAAATTTTAATAATAAATATTATGTTCTTATAAAGTGAAGATCACTATATAATAATTATTTCTTTAAAATGTATCGAATATGATATTTGATTAGATTAACCAACCAACTTATCAATCTTTAAAATTTTCATAACAAATTTTACTAAAAAAATAGTTGCTGGTTGTGTTCCAGCAATTACTTGGTAGGTTAAATTAAAATATTTGTAGTACTACTAATAAAACTAACTGTTCATCCTTAGATTGTCTTGTCACCACCAGATGCATTACTATATAGATTTTGTTTAACAAAT